CACATGCACCTTCTCAACCCACTTGACCTCGTCGAGCGTGAACTTCTCAAGTAAATTCTTCCAAACTTCTTTATACTCGATCTTGTCAAACTCCTCTTGCGTCATCTCTTCTACGGCGTAGCTTGACTCGTTCTGCGGGTCGTCCACGATGCAGATTGCCGCCTGAAACGCCATACTCCTCGGGTAGTTCTCCACTCCGCGCATGTTGTGAGCTCCTTCCAGCATAACGTGTTTCTCCTTACAGCTGCAACGCCTCCAGAGTCCCTCGTGCATCTTGTACTTGGTCGTCCGCACGTTCGTGGGCTTCTTGATCGGACCGATCCTGCGCCCGTCGCGGTCCAGCGCCTTCAGCCCGTACGCGCACTGGTCCACGAACGTGTCGTATCTTTCCATGTCCTGCCAGACGTCCTCGCTCCACGACGTCGCGTATCTGGGATGCTCCAAATGCGCGTTCCTCTCGTTCTTCTGCTGCTCGTCGTAGATGTCCCGGCTGAACTTCAGAAACTCTTTCTTCTGCTTCTCTCGCTCTCGTCTGCGCTGCTGCCGATATCTGTTGTCCTTACTCGCGTCGTTCAGCGTGTTGATCGAAGACCACAGCGTACATGGCGGTGAAATCCAAACTTCCTCTGGCCTCTCACGTCGTAGTTTTTCAAAGAACGCTTCGCGATGTGATTTCCTCGTAAAATCCCAGCCAGTGTCCAACGTATACTTGTCCGTCTTGAAGTCGCCATGCTGCTCGACATACTGTGAAATACGTCCCTCATTGACAAAAATCTCCCAGAACTTGCGTTTAACTTTAGGTTTCTCGTCGAGCGTCCTGTTAACCTTCGCAAACCAGTCCTTCAGCTGCTCAGCGTCGAAGTTCGTCATCTCCGCGTCCTCCTTCTCCTCGCCATGAGTGCTGGTCACGTAAAAGTATATCTCCTCTTCGCTCTTGACCTCGTGATCTCCGTCCGTGTCGGCGTCCGTCGAGCTAGACTCCTCTTTGATCTCCAGCGCGTCCTCCGGGAAACTCAAAAGGTCCAGGATCATGTGGCCTTTCTCGTTTGTCTCGATGTCGCTCCACGTCTGAGGTACTTCGTCCAGGTACATCGCCTTCTTGTTGCGGTAGTCCACCACGATGCCCCATTCTTCGAGACACGGCCGAGCCACCAAAAGAGATACTTTGCCCGGCACCAGGTAAACCGTGATCTCGCGCTTCGTCTTGCGAGCCCAGACTGGGAACGTAACCATCTGCTTTGCCGTCGCCGTAGCGTCGTTGCCGAACCGGAATGTCTTCTGGCACCGCTCCGTCGTGATTTGGTCGGCCATGCCCATGTCCGTCAGCTTCTTGCGCCACTTCGGCCACTCGTCGAGTCCCATGACTGGCTTCGTAGCTCCGCTGTCGCCAACTCCTTTGCCCGTAGCCAGATTCACTTCTTCAAGTTGTAATCCGTGTGCCGTCTCCATGCTTGGAGCGATCTCCGTGAACTTATTGTCCGTGCCGATCTCGTACAGCATCTTCGCGTCCTCGTCGTGCTTGGCGGGTGCTCCATCTCGTCGCCGCTTGAACCTTGGTCCGTGTTGCTGCGTAGATCCCGTATGCGTCGTCTTCGGGCTGCCGTCGAGATGCTTGCCGCCCTTGCCACTGCCGAAGGGTGCTCGTCCACTGTATCGTCCTTTCTGCTTGCCCTTCTGCGCACCTCTCGCCTTGCCACTGCTGCTGCGTCCTCTTCCTTTTGGCGGCCTGGCATTTCCAACTCTTGGGGGGGGTAGTCCACGCTTCTCGTCGATCAGCGCCACCACGGGGTAGAACCCTCGGGACTTCGCCAATTCGTTCATCTTAGCTCGCGCCTCCGCATACGCTGCGTAGGCCTCCTCGGTAGCCTCGTAGGCGTTCTCGAGATCCTCCGGCACTTCCTCGTCTTCCTCGTACCACTCGTCATCTTCTTGGTATTCTTCATGCGGGTCGTACTCGTCCTCATAGTAAGCGTCATCATCTTCTTCATAGTAGTCTTCCATCCAGTAGCCTTCCTCTCGACTGCCTCGTCCGTGATAAGTACTCCTCACGCGATCGATGTCCTTCTTGTGCGCCACGCTATCACCTCCGAACATCGTCTTCAGACTCTCCGTGACCACCTGCACCGTCAGCCTGTTGTTGCACAGCGCCTTGAGGTTTGGTACTTGCCACTGGGGAATCGCCGCCCGCGTCATCATATGCCATCCTGCCAGTAGATCTGGCAGCTCAAGTCCAGCTTCGCGCAGCTTCGTCAGCTCCTTGCCGTGCCTGAGCACGTACGCATTGAGCGTCTCCTTCGGCTGCCGCGCGAACTCTCCGAAAAATCCGTCGCATCTTCCTGGCAACTCGACCTCCTGAGTATACCTGTACAGCACGTCCAACTTCTCAAAAATCTCATCGAATGCCTCGGCGGTGTCCATCCTCTCGAAACTTATCTCGTCGCAGGCGTCCCACGCGTCGCCCTGCAGACTCTGCAGGAGCAAGTAGGCGCCCTCACTCACCACTGGCGCGCCTCGGCGCGCACACAACCTCTGGAACACCGTCGCTCTCCGTCGAAAGTTCCTGTACGTCGCGTGACTGAGGTCCGTCGCATCCGGGCAGCACTTCGCCAAGCCCGCGTCCATCTGTGGTGGCCGATCACCCTGTCGTCCTCGACCACCTCCTCCGAGGAGCTCGCTGTCGTCGTCTGGTACTTCCTGCTCCTCGGCTTGGCGACGTTCCTCCTGCTGGCCTCTTCCTCGTCCAGCGTCGCCACCGCCACGCCCTTCACCTCGTCCGCGTCCCGGTCTTGGTTGACCGTTGGGCCGCATCTCTCGACTCTGTTGGGAGAGAATCAAGAGCGGACTTTATCGGTCGGGCCGTGGACCTGGAGCCGTAGCTCCGCTACCAATGTCGGTAGCACTCAACAGAACCACCGAAGTCTGAACACACGAAGTTCCAAACCGAATATGAAAATGAATAGATTGCGATCGATAAGATCCGCTCGTAGTTAATATCAGCTCAGGGGCCCCTACGAATCAGTTTGAGTCGAAACAGGCAGCGGGCGCGCACACACCTACACGCAAGTATGTACCGCAAGCAAGCAAGCAACACACACACACGTGCATGCTAGCAATCATTACATCATGCATAGCTACTACATTGGAACATAATCTGTGCCATTGACAACGAGGACGAGGGAAGCGGATGGGGGCAGAAGGAGGTGGAATGAATTGCGCATGGCCGTATGGGGAGGGGGATGGCGATGGCGCAGATGCGGGGGCGGCGTGTCGGGCGGAGGAGGGCGAAGAGGAACGCCGTGCGGTGACGGAAAAAGACCAGAGCATGACGAGGAGGAGAGGCATGATGAGGAGGGGGGAAAGAGCGCGTTTTGTGGTCGCTTGGAGGGGGGGGGGCCCTTCCATCCCTTCCATTTCTCCTCTCTCCCTCTCCTCGGGCCGGCGCCTGCGTCGGCGGCGGCTGGAGGCGGCGGCGGGGACGACGATTTTCTCTTCTGGGCCGTCGCCGGCGCCTGCGGCGGGGGCGGCGGCGTGGCGGTGGTGGTGGTTGCGGAGGTGATGGTGTGGTGGTTTGTTGTGGCGGTGGTGGTTGTGGTGGTGGTGGTGGTGGTTTGGTGGTGGCGTGGTGGTGGTTTGTGGTGGCGGTGGCGGTGGCGGTGGTGGCGGTGGTGGGTCGTGGTGGTGGTAGTGGTGGTGGTGGTGGTGGTGGTGGTTTGTTGTGGTGGTGGTGGATTGTTGTGGTGGCGGTGGTTTGTGGAGGTGGTGGTGGTGGTGGTGGTGGTGGTGTGGTGGTTTGTGGTGGCGGTTCTGGGTTGTGCTGCTGGTAGTAGTGGTGGTTGTGGCGGTGGTGGTGGTGGGGTGCACTTTGGCGGTGGTGGTGGCAGTGGTGGTGGTTTTTGTGGTGGTGGTGAGTGATGGTGAGTTGTGGTGGGTTGGTGGTGGTGGTGGTGGCTGTGGTGGTGGTGGTGGTGGTTGTGTGGTGGGTTTGTGGCGGTGGTGGTGGGTTGAGGCGGCGGTGGTGGTGGTGGCGGTAGTGGTGGCAATCCTCGTTGTGTCCCCGCCGGCGCCAGCGCCGGCGCTGGCGCCAGGGCCCCCCCCCCTCCCCTTTTGGGCTGCCTTAAGGTCATCGTCGGTGCGTCCCCGCCGACGGCGCTGCTGGCGGCCACCAGCGCCGGCGCCGGCGCTGGCGCCAGGAGGGGGGGGGGGTTGAATCCCCCCCCCGCTTGGGCTGCTTCTGGTCATCGTCGCTGCGTCCCCGCCGTCGGTGTTGCTGGCGGCCGCCAGCGCCGGCGCTGGCGCCGGCGCCGGGCGGGGGGGGGGGCGGGAGGTGGGAGGTTGGGGGGGAGGGGAGTCGCCCTGGTTTTGATCGACGGCGCCGGGCGTTGGGGGTGGGGGGCCCCCCCGGTTTGAAACGCGCCGCCGAACGTTCCCAAGGCCAGCGCCCGTGAAACGGGCTCTCTCGGAGGGGGGAATTGGATGAATCCCAAGCGAAGGGGGCATGGGGAGGAGGACGGGGATGTATAGTGCATGAGGGTGGGGCGGGCGCGAGCTAGCGTTCATTTTGGCGGTATGTTGCGCGCCCGCTCAACAGCGTAAAACATAAGTGGCGGTTGCGGTGCAAGACTGTCAGTGTCGTTGTGCGCGGCGTGCGTCCAGGCCAAACGTTCGACTCCACGACGTTCTTCTGCGTCGTGTTGATGCCAGCTATTTTTGCCAGGCCGCGCATGCACAGATAGGTTGATTGTGTTTCAACGATTGCCTCATGATCCTTCCATAGTTACATACCAACGTTGGAATCCCACTCCAGACATTCGTGGACTTCGCGATCGCCGTGGGGGGCCAGCGGGTTCGATCCGAATACCATATGAGTAGAGGAGGTGGAAGAGGAGGAAAGGGAGGAGGAGGAGGAGGATGAGGAAAGCAGGATGATGCGAAGGAGGAGGTGGTGCCGTTTGCCGCTCTCCAGTGGCAGAGCCCCCCCATGAGAGGGGGGGGTGCGGCAGGGGCTCAGCTTCATCGGCGATGAGTGGGAGCCGTACCAGATGAAGGCATTGCCGGCTGGCTGCAACTTCGTTCGTCGGGGTATCTGTTCGTTTAAACGAGGAGGAGGGGGAGGAGGAGGAGGAGGTGGAGGAGGAGGAGGTTTGTGGCAAATCCGGTTCAAGGCCATCTGCGGGACCCATCCTCCGCACTCGCCCTTCGCGCCGCGAAGCGCGGCGCGCGCCAGAGTGCTGGGGGGCGGGCCTTACGCTTACAGCCGCGCCAGTCGTCTGCCATGCCAGCTGGCCGCCGGCCGGGTGCGGATGCGGGGCGCTGCCTACCTTCAGGGCGGCGTTTTTTTTCTGCGGTCGCGAAATGGGCGACTGCGTTGTGCGCCACAGTGGGCTGGAATGCTGCCCGCCGCAGACGTCCTGTTGCGGCCGAGGCGAGGTGGACACACATTATGTTGCCATCGGAGACCAACTCTACTCGTCCCGCGACGTTTGCGACAGCTAAAACAGCTTCATTGATAACGACCTGTGCTCTCTCGGTCCCCAGGGCGACTACGGTTTGCACGCATACGACGGGCCGCACGAGTACGACGGGCACGAACAAGGCGCATATGATCATTGCTACGACATTTCCGCGCCTTTGCAGTTGTTTACGGAGGTTACGAGACCACCCAGCCGGAAACATTGAAAAGGCGCCATATGTCAACATGCCTGGAGGTTGACCCCATTGCGAAGATCATCGCGACGGCGCCCTGCGTGGCCACCGAGCAAAGCGAGGAGAACAACACCATGGACCACCAGGAGACCAACCTACACGAGCGTCACGAGCGGCTGCTGCTTCCGCTGTTGAGGACCATAGGGCCATGCCCCTGTGGGTCCTCCGTCCTGGAGGCACGGGCTTCAGTCCAGAAGAACCAAACATTGGGTATCCCCCCCCAGGGGTCCCCGCGGCGGCCCCCCACCTGGCCCTTTCGGGCTACGTCGCCGACAAGCTTGGATCCACTGGAAGCACTGCTCGGCTGGATCCGCTTGGAAACACCTGTTCGGGCGAACGCTCAGGTCGAGATTTTTCCGTCGCGGCGCGGCAGAGGCAACCCGCGCGGGTTTTAGTTGTCCGGGGCGTTCCATATTATTTGTCCGGCGGAGCGAGGAGGGAGTGGAACGCGGATGACGGCCGCGGAGAACGGGATGGAAGGGGGCACCCTTCGCGCGAATAATTTCGGCAGGAGTGGCCCGGGCGGCTGACCTTTGCCGAGACGTCCTGGCAGTGGGCGCGGAGCGGCAGCGCCCGCGCCAAGCTGAGAGGCAAAGGCCCCACGCGCTGCTAGTAGCGTTCACTCGGGCGTGTCAATCTACAGGAGGAATATTCAAACATCGCATCCCCAATCCGCATGTAGGGGGACATGCATGCCCGACCTAATGCTAGCGCAGAGCAGGTGGAACCAGCGCGGAAGAAGAGCGGCGAGCGGGCCCACTTCGTCAAGGGGCCGCGGGCCGCCAGCGACGGGCGTTGCCGTGGATCGGCGGGGCGGGGCGCGAAGGCCAGCCATCGGGGGGGCTGGCCGGCGCCAACAAGCCCGCAGCAGCAAGATGCTGCTCGGCTGCCGCGCTGCGCGGCTGAGCGCGACGCGGCTGGACAGTTGGCCGAGGCGCTGGTGAGGGCGGCAGTCAGGGCCGCCAACGGCCAGGGTTTGCTGCGCGGGGCACCGCCTGCTGGATGGCGCGGGCAGCGAGGGGGCCGTCGACACGCGCGGGAAGGAGGAACCGCATCCGGCTGGCGCACGCATCACAGCAGGCGCGGCGGGGGTGCTCAGCCACGCGGCTGACGGGGCGGGGGCGCCCAGCTGCACGGGCAGCGGGGCAGGGCGGGGGAAGGCGGCCCACCCGACCGGCGCAATAAACGCAGCCAGGATGCCACTGAGCCGCCCGGCCGCGGATCCAGCAGCCATGCCCGGCGGGGGCAGCGAGGTCGGGGGGCCGGCGGGGCGGGGCGCGCGGGCGACGGCGGGCGGAGCCGGGGGCAATTGAATTGGCGCATGAGGCCCCGCGGGAGAGTGGAACCGTGGTAGGGGCAGTGGTGGCGACGTGGGCACACTGCGACAGTGTTGGGGGCACTGGTGGGGACAGTGGTGGGAGCGTTGGGCCGGTGGGACACTGGTGGGGACAGTGGGGCAGTGGTGGGGACAATAGGGGCAGTGGGACATTTGTGGGGACGGTGGCGGTGGGGACTGGCGAGGGGACAGTGGGACAGTGGCGGGGACAGCGGTGGGGACGGTGGCGGCGGGGACAGTGGTGAGGGCGGTGGTGGGGACGGTGGTGGGACAATGGGACAGTGCTACTATGGGGACAGTGGTGGAGACATTGGGACAGTGGTGGCGGGGACTGGTTGGGACAGCGAGGACTGGCGAGCGTGGGACCGTGGTGAGGACACTGGTGGAGACAGTCGGGACAGTGCGATAGTGGTGGGGACAGTGGGGACAGTGGCGGGAACAGTGGGGACAGTGGGACACTGGGGGGGCTGGAGCAGTGGTGGGAACGGTGGTGGTGTGGACAGTGGTGGGGGCGGTGGTGGGACCTGGGAGTCGTTTGCTGGCGGCGAGTGGGAGGGGGGCGTGTCCGAACAAGTAGTGACCCCCCCCTGGTTTTCCAGGGGGGAGTTTCG